ATTTTGCCCACCACTTCCTGCCTACATGCATACAACCCACTGATGTCTGGGTGACATTTCTCAGTCAGGTATCCCAATAGTGACAATGAAGGCTCATGGCATCATTATGAATGTATATTTAAAAAAATCCACTTGTAGTCTCCACCATTAACCTGTGTTACAGGGTGACAACGAGTCATTACCCCGCCCCCGATTTTCTGATTGGCCAAAAAGCCGGCTCCATGCTTCCTCGTCACCTGGTGGTCGGGAACCTGGCCAATCAGATAAACCGGGCGGTGAGTCATTACCCGCCCCCTTGCTTCCTGATTGGCCAGAAAGACGTCTCCATGCTTCCTTATCACCCAACACCCCAGACACTGCACCTTTTTGCCAGGTAGCAACTGCATATTTCACTGCTCCCTCTGTCCATGCTGCCCCCTTGTCAACATTACAGGGACTTGCAGAGGAGAGGCTAAAGTTGGGTAGACATGGCTCTATTTTTTTTCCTTCAACCTGCGGGCTGAACTAAAAAAACAGAACCGATTTCTCCATCAACTCTTATGTGCATTGATAAAAGAATACCCGTGGTTTCTATTGTATTCTGACAGCGGCCACTATCAATGGAGCCTGCAGCCGATTGGTGCTAGCTTCGTTCGGCCAAGAATTTCTAACCTGCTCCTTCAATCAGCCGATTGAGGGATACCGGGTGGAAGGGCGCTGTCAGCCGGAACCCACTGCGCAAAAATTCAGCCTGTTCATAAAGAACGAGACGAAGTTCGCTGCGTGTATAGCCTACTTTAGTCTTGAGTTTCTGGACTCTCTGCTCACTGCCTCCTCCCTTTGGTGACATTCCCTTCTCACCAGTGCAGCCTGTAAAGGCCAGTCTGTCCCTGCACACTTCTGGGTTGAGAGGAAGATGGAAGCCAAAAACTGAGAGGCCCACCACCTCCATTACTATGGAACACTTCCAATGTAGCAGCCTTAAAGGGTTATTAAACCCTTCAGTTTTTTTGCATACATCTACTGCTAGCAAGCAGTAGATATGGGCAAAAAGTGTAAAAAAAACGCTTTGAAAAGGGTTAATACTTAGCTGTGTCTTCCCCGCACGCTCCCGTCCGAAAATGTGAAAATTCTCGGGCGGCCGCAAAGCATCTTGGGGCGGACGCATGCGCAGTTCAGATTTTCGGCCAGGATGCGATGAGAGACACAAGGTAAGTCTATGGACAGCGTGCACCGGCATGCAGACACCGTGGGACAGGAAGTGCCCCAGAGGAGTCAGCGCTGGATCGGAGACCCGCCGCAGCGCTGGAGGGACGGATGAAAACGACAGGAAAGAAGATCGGATTAAGAAACATCATTTAAGGTAAATGGTTTCCTTAACATTGGGGGGTGGGAAAATATTTTTGGCTTTAATGTCACTTTAACTAGAGGTCCAAAGTCCAAAATGTATTATTTCTTTGTTGTTTTTTTTTAAATCCAACATCACTATTTATCACTCATCCGTTCTAAACTACTGAACCCTTTATATGATAATTCAATTTCTATATCAGGTCGAAACTAAGGAGGAAACAACAACTCCATTTTACTTCCTGCATTCCTTTACAATACTTGTAAGGTTGCTTTAACGTACATCATATGCAGATCAAAGGTCAACCCATTTAATCTGCATATATACAAAACAAGGAAACGCAACATAAAAAAGAATGTTGCTACGTTGACTCAAAGTTCACTGGTGATTGAAAACAACTGACTTTCTAAAGTAATGAAAAAGGGGCGTTTTTTTACCAAATCTCACCATTATTGTGAGTAATGTGGACGTGTACCCTACTAACTCATGTTTTTAAAGAAAAAGACTTACTAACAGTGCCATCTCCAGTTTTAATAGCTGTTCATCTGGTTCTTCTAAATTAAATTGCTGTGGCTCAGATTTGTTGTTTTTGTCCTCAGTTTTTGAGGTTTCCGGGGGTTTCTGTAATTTGGTTGAGCTGGACTTTGAAGCCACACTCTGAGCCATCTTCGGTTTGGACTCCACACGATCTGAACATGTTCCTTTGCCCTGATCCTTCATATTTATTTTCTGACTTTGTGACTGAAGATTTTTCTTTCCTTGAGTCTGCTCCTGGGAACTTTTCTTGCTAGAGGGTTGTGGGGGGCTTAAGAATGCTTCAGAGGGAAAGCTTGCTTTTTTTTGACTGTGTGGTAAATCTGTTAAAAGAAAAAAAGTTTTTTGATAAATATCTCTGATATTCACTTATTTGATAGTACTCAAGAAATAATGAAGGGAATTTATCACAGCTGGAGCAGATATAATCTGGAGCAATTGTCCAGAGCAACCAATCAGCTTCTTTCTTTCATTTTCAAAGCTTAACTGAACAAACTGAAGAGAGAAGCTGATTGGTTACCATGCACAGCTGCTCCAGATTTTGTCTGCTCCAGTTTTGATAAAATTCCCCCCCAATATATATTTGTTCCTGTGAATGAATAGATAATCAAATATCTCTGGAAATGCAGTGACCCTCAGTAGTGAAGATACAATCAGGAAAGTCAGTGAATCACTCATTTTTGATTTGTCTGAATATTTGCACACAAATACTCCTGATCTAAGCAAACTAGTGCAACACTCAGTTCCAGGCAATCAAGTTTCAGAGATTACATGATTTTCCACAGATTAAAATGTATGCCGATATTGTGTCCCTCATTTCTTAAACAGTTGAATCAAAAGAGGGACACTGCAAAACCCATTTCTTAGTAGATCATTGGGGCACATTGTAGACCATGGGGGATATTTTATTATTATACAGGATTCATATAGCACCAACAGTTTGCCCAGCGCTTTACAACATAGGGAAGACAGTACACTACAATTCATGATTCTCTGCCCATGAGAGCTTACAATCTAAGAGGGAGGGGCAAGTGTTACATGAGGAAGTAGCTGTGTGGGGATGAATTGTTTGAGAAAGAAATTGTTTAGTGGTTAGTTTGGGGTGGGATAGGCTTCCCTGAAGAGAGGAGTCTTTAGTGATCGCCGAAAGGCAGAGTAGGATATAGACGGACATGTTGCGGTAAGGAGTTCCAAAGGATGGGAGAGACTCTAGAGAAATCCTGGAGGTGAGCATTGAGAAGCTGACGAGAGAGCAGGAGTTCTTGGGAGGAGCAGAGAGAACGGTTAGGGTGATACTTTGAGACAAAGGTTGGAGATGTAGCTGGGGGAAGAGTTGTGGATGGCTTTGTAAGTGGTTGTTAATCAGGGCTGTAGCTACCATGGGGCGAGTAAGGCACTCGCCTCAGGCGCAGCTGAGAGGGGGCGTAGCCAGGGCCGGTCTGAGTGTATTGGACGTAATGAATGAAAACATGTTTTCATCAGTTTCGTCAAACGAAACAAATTTTTATGCTGTTTTGGATTTGGCCACCAGAGCCATCCTGGAGGCGGGCGCATTACGTCACATGACGCCTTACGTGCCCAGCGTTGTGTGACATAACACGTGTGTTGGGGGCACAATTTTCTGTTCTTGCCTCGGGTGCAAAAGGACCTAGCTACGGCTCTGTTAATATTTTGAATTGTATCCTTCTTTCTGGAGGGTGGCTACTTTTGTTCCCCGTGGTCCCTGTGTGTGTTGTAAAGTAGTCACCGCTCCAAGCTCACTCCTGTAATGAATGACAACTATATACAGATTAGAGCATTCATCTGGTTAGTAAACGTCTCATAAAGGATGCATGCAATTGTCAGGAATGAACACTGCAGTAAGTATCTCTGCAGCATTAGAGACAGAAAACAGAGCAGAATGGGCGGAATGTTTATGTACCTCGCTGCTGTTTGAGTCTCCGGAGTTCATCCTCTGAAAAGCCGGCCCATCCAGCCATGTCTGTCCTGTTCTGGTGACCACTCTGGCCTCTCATGGAAATCTCTGCACTACTTCCGCCTCACTCCCAGCTCTGCCACGTCAAAGCCCATTCATAGGCTGGGCTGTCCGGGCTGCCTGACGGAAGATGTGTATTGAGTAGAGGGACATCTAGTGGGGATTTGGAGTAATGAATGATGTATATTATATAGAGTGACGTCTATTGGGAATTTGGAGTAATGAAGGATGTATATTTTATAGGGTGACATGTGGTGGGGATTTGGAGTAATGAAGGATGTATATTTTATAGGGTGACATGTGGTGGGGATTTGGAGTAATGAAGGATGTATATTTTATAGGGTGACATGTAGTGGGGATTTGGGGTAATGAAGGATGTATATTTTATAGGTTGACATGTAGTGGGGATTTGGGGTAATGAAGGATGTATATTTTATAGGTTGACATGTAGTGGGGATCTGGGGTAATGAAGGACGTATATTTTATAGGTTGACATGTAGTGGGGATTTGGAGTAATGAAGGATGTATATTTTATAGGGTGACATGTAGTGGAGATTTGGAGTAATGAAGGATGTATATTTTATAGGGTGATGTCTAGGGGAGATTTGGGGTAATGAAGGATGTATATTGTATAGGGCAGGGGTAATGAATAAAAATTCAAGGAGGTCCAGTGAGCAGAATTTTCATTGACCCAAGGTCCGAATCGCGGGCTGGAAAGAACAGCCACTCAGTCCATTTCTGCATTTAGCCCGCATTTGCAATGCACTGCAACGCACAGCTGCAGGTGTGGTTTCCCCAGACACAATGCTAATGTATTGATCGCAGTGCATCACAATTTATTTTGTTAGAACTTACATTGTTTGTCCCCTTACACTGGTTTTTCCCATCGGAGTGCCCCCTTACACTGGTTGTCCCCATCGAAGTGCCCCCTTACACTGGCTGTCCCCATCGGAGTGCCCCTTACACTGGCTGTCCACATCAGAGTGCCCCCCTACACCGGTTGTCCCATCAGAGTGCCCCCTTACACTGGCTGTCCCCATTGGAGTATCCCCTTGCACTGGCTGTCCCCATCGGTGTCTCCCCTTACACAAGTTGTCCCTATCAGAGTGCCCCCTTACACTGGCTGTCCCCATCGGAATGCCCCTTACACTGGCTGTCCCCATCGGAGTGCCCCCTTACACTGGCTGTCCACATCAGAGTGCACCCTACACAGGTTGTCCCATCAGAGTGCCCCCTTACACTGGCTGTCCCCATTGGAGTATCCCCTTACATTGGCTGTCCCCATCGGTGTCTCCCCTTACACGGGTTGTCCCTATCAGAGTGCCCCCTTACGCTGGCTGTCCCCATTGGAATGCCCCCTTACACCGGCTGTCCCCATTGGAATGCCCCCTTACACGGGCTGTCCCCATTGGAATGCCCCCTTACACCGGCTGTCCCCTTTGAAGTGCCCCCCTTACACTGGCTGTCCCCATTGGAGTGTCCCCTTACACTGGATGTCCCCATCGGTGTCTCCCCTTACACTGGCTGTCCCCATCGGTGTCTCCCCTTACACTGGTTGTCTCCATCAGATTGCTCCCATTATGTGTCCACATTAGAGTGCCCCCTTATATTATGTGCCACCTATCAGAGTGCCCCCTTACCCTGGTTGTCCACATCAGAGTGTCCTCTTACATTGGTTGTTCCCATCAGAGTGTCCTCTTACACTGGCTGTCCCCATCAGAGTGCCCCCTTACACTGGCTGTCCCCATCAGAGTGCCCCCTTACATTATGTGTCCCTATCAGAGTGCCCCCTTACATTGGTTGTCCCCATTGGAATGCACCCTTACACTGGTTGTCCCCATGGGAGTGCCCCCTTACACTGGCTGTCCCCATCGGAATGCCCCCTTTCACGGGTTCTCCCCATCTTAGTGCCCCCTTACACTGGTTGTCCCCATCTGAGTGCCCCCGTTCACTGGCTGTCACAATCGGAGTGCCCCCTTACAGGTTGTCCCCATCGGAATGCCCCTTACACTGGTTGTCCCCATGGGAGTGCCCCCTTACACTGGCTGTCCCCATCGGAATGCCCCCTTTCACGGGTTCTCCCCATCTTAGTGCCCCCTTACACTGGTTGTCCCCATCTGAGTGCCCCCGTTCACTGGCTGTCACAATCGGAGTGCCCCCTTACAGGTTGTCCCCATCGGAATGCCCCCTTACACTGGCTGTCCCCATTGGAGTGCCCCCTTACACTGGCTGTCCCCATCAGAGTTCCCCCTTACTGTCCTCACATGTCCTTTGGGGTACCTTAGCTAGGGGGTGAACTCAGGAGACACAGCCAGGAGTTGGAGCCGGGAAGCAGAGCCAGGGGTTGGAGCTGGGAGGAGTCAGAGGCAGGGCTGGGAGGCAGAGCAGGGAGCTTGAAAGCAGAGCCAGGATGTGGAGCTGGGAGGAGCCGAGAGCCCTGGAGGTGGAGAGGGCTATTGGCATCCTCTTCGGTGCTCAGCGGGAAACTGGCTGCCATTGGCAACTGTGGTCCGGACAGTGGTCCAACAATGCGGACTCCTGGTATACGTTGACATGAAGTGGGGATTTAGGGGTAATGAAGAATGTATATTGTATAGGGTGACATCTAATGTGGACTTTGGGGTAATGTAAAATGTATATTGTATAGGGTGACATCTAATGTGGACTTTGGGGTAATGAAAAATGTATATTGTATAGGGTGACATCTGATGGGGCTTTTAGTGTAATGAAGGATATGTATTGTATAGTTTAGAGTGACATATAGTAGGGAATTTGGGGTAATCAAGGATGTACACTGGGCATTAGGCAGGTAAGGAGGTGGGATTTGGTAATAATACAAAGGCATGATGAGTAGTCAGTGGGTGTGTCACTCCTGAGGAAGTCGGTGACGAAACGTGTGGAGTGGGCAGTCATGTGCTGACGTTATCACACAACCCAGAAGTTCTGGTACTCAAGAGGAGAGAGGACTGTTTTTTTCTGAGCGCGGTCTTGTGGTGTTGTTGAAGCACCTTTTATTGTGATATCTAAAAAAGCAAAAGACTTACCGCTCCAATTCCACCAGACTGCAGATCAATATAGACATCGGGTGCAGGCTGCAGTGTGCTCCCACTCGTCAAACAATATCTCTCCAATCAGCCGCACAAAACCAAGATCCATAAAAATCCAACTTTATCGTTGTAAATTCCATGCAAAGTTCAAAATACAAGTTATACACCACCATAGTATCTCTCTTAGAGGCGTTGGAGTGGGAGAGATACTTGGTGATGTATAACTTGTATTTTGAACTTTGCATGGAATTTACAACAATAAAGTTGGATTTTTATGGACCTCCGTTTCGTGCAGCTTCTTGGTGAAATATTACCTTATATTGTGAGTTACTTTTAATTGTCTTTATTAACAAACGTTTTACTGATTTATGCTATGAGAGATCTGTTGTTTTTTCATAAATGCCTGTATGAATTAAATAACCTAGAAGGTGTATGCAGAGGAAATGTGGAGGAGCTATACTTGTGGCGGAATAACAAAGTGCATATTGACCCTTTTGTTTAAAGGAGAACTATGGGATGAGTAAAAAACACTCATCCCCATAATTCAAGCTGACCTGTGACACTGAAGCTGTCACAGGTCGGCTTTATTGATTGGGAAGTCTAGAGAGACAGAGCCAGCTGTCAATCAGCCAGCGGGGTGGATCTTGACACTATTGACGGAATGCATCTCGGCTGTGGCGCGGCTCTGTGTTCTACTATATACTGAGTTTGGGGTCATTAGTATATGTCCTCCTGTGACCCCGAAGAGAACTATGGCCAAAAAGGATTAGGCCATAGTTCTCCTTTAATGGCCCATCTGATCTGGTGAGTGAATGGAATCCTGATAAAGCACAGAAGAAAGGATTGGTGGAGCACGTTGAAGAACGTATGCATTATGAAATGTTATATTATTTTGATGATTCTGTATATATATATATGTATTTTATATTGATTTATACGTTTTGGGTTAATAGGGGGTTAGTAATAGTATTGGATGTAATTCTAGCACGGTGCACTGTTTCTATTGATAGCCTAGAGATAGGTTACATGAGACTGCTAGAAATGACTGCTACTACAGCCCCTTTACATATCAATGCTTCCACATTTGTGCCCCCTACAGCCCTCTTAAAAATTCCTTGTGTCACATTAGATATTTTACCAAAATCCATTATAAAAAATCATGGGGAGAAACACATAAAAAGAGATGGTATGGACAGCACAGAAAACAGTAATGCAATGTGAAATAAATAAACCAAACCATGTAACTCCTAGAAGACAGTCTAAAAAATATTTTCCTTTACTTCCTTGCGTAAACCCCAAACCACAGACTTTTATCTACTGGGGCTCCCAAGGTACTACAATAAGTGCCCCTTGGCCGATAGGTTGGGCATCAGGGATTTAAACAGCACTCTGCTGGTGTTGGAGTCATAAACCAGTGGAGCAGTAAGCACATTTGTATAGCACACGCTTTTTAAATGTGCAGTGTTTTCTTTTTTAAAAGCAGTGGTATGGACCCCTTTATTTACTAAAGCGCTGTGTATCATAAACATGTGTAATGTAAAATGTATCATGCAATTTTTTATTACATTCTTGTTTTCACCTTTTGCAATCCTTTATTGCATCTTAGTGTTGCTGATCTCCTCCAACCTTTTTGCTGCCACTTCCTGTGTAAGTGCAATCATCCCAGCCTGGCCTGCATGACATTTTGCAGGCTGTTTCTTCTGACAACTGCAGAACATGCACAATGCATGTTGGCACACCTGCCTACAGCCTAAACCAGCTGTGCAGGTGACAGGGTGACAATGCATGAGAGCACCTGGGAGACAGGGGCAGAGAGTTTTCACCCTATAACAGGATGTGCCTGTACAAGGATTTTAATGTCTGGATTGCCAGATAATATTGTAATGAAAGCTGCTGATTAAATAAGATTGAAAACAATGTTTGATTACAATAATGCTGCATTTCTCAATTAGGGTTTTGTGGGAAACCTAGGGTTCCTTCTGAGGTTGCTAGGGGTTCCTTGAGCAGTGAGCAATGGTCAATTGATATCCCACTTACAATGACCCCCAGTGCAAGGTGGCAATTTTCCAATAACATCCACAGTAAGAGGTTGCTTTTTCCCTGACCACTTATGTAAGGGGACACCAAACATTTTTCATTTCAAGATGATTACTGAAACGTATTTTATTGAGGAGGAGGGTGGTAAAAAAAAAAATCTGCCCTTGGTGCTTAATATGTTAAGTAGGCCACATTCTTTATTCTTTTATTTAAAACCTTCAACAACTTATGATAATGCTAATGTACCTTAAGCTGTAGGTTTAATCATTTTTAGCAGGGGTTCCCCAAGACCTGAAACTTGTTTCAAGAGTTCCAGCAAGGTAAAAATGTTGAGAAAAGCTGCATTAATGTGGTAAAGAGTACATGAGATTATAGTGATTGGGTTTACAATAGTTTTTATTACACAAAACTTTCCATAGATCCTTTTGAAAATGGGATTGCTTATTTTTAAACACTAATATAAAGGAAAAGTAGGGGGTGAAAAAATACCCAGTGGGTTTTAATGATTATATTGGAACTTGGAAACCGTCATGGTCTGTATAATCGGGGTGTGCATACTCACCAACTTTCTGAGATAAGAAAGAGGGACACTATTTAGCACAAAGTATGTAGGCGATGTATGTAACCCACGCATACCCACTTTTCCAGGCTTCTTCTGCCATTTCTTCACTTGTCACAAACAGGACAAAATAACTGGTGCTTCCATGTGTGAATGAACATCGTCTCATGATTCAGAGCTCAGGCTTAGCAGCCAGTCACTAATCTAAAGCACTGTCACATGCTAGAGGGGCTGACGCTATGGCTCCCTCTAGGGTCTAGGCTCCCACACTAGACCAGATGTGGGATTGTTTTAAAAACACACTACATACTGCTACTTCAAAGTGTATACCTTTAGGGAGCAAAAATAAAAGATCAAAGACTAAACCAATATGGTTTAATAAAACTGTAAAACAACACATCAAGGATAAGAGAGCGGCATTTATCAAATATAAGACGGAGGGGACGGCATTGGCGTTCCTTAACTACAAAGAATGTAACAAAAAATGCAAACTAGAAATCCGGGCAGCTAAAACTGAGTGCGAAAAGCATATCGCCGCAGATAGTAAAAAGAACCCCAAAAAATTTTACCAATATATTAACAGTAAAAAGGTGAGAAAGGAGCAGATAGGCCCAATAAAGGATGGAAGCGGGAAGCTAGTCACAAACGACAAGGAGAGGGCCGAGGCGCTGAACGCTTTTTTCTCCTCAGTATACACTCGGGAGGGAAACGGGTTTGACACACATGATAAAACTCCCAGTTTAACTCAAAATATACCCCAGTGGTTGACGGAAACCGGGATACAACAAAGACTTAAAATGCTCAATGCAAACAAAGCAGTGGGTCCGGATAACCTTCACCCCAAGGTACTTAAGGAATTAAGCCAGGTTATAATTAGACCATTAAGGACTCCTTAATGACTGGTAGGATCCCCAGTGATTGGCAAAGTAAAAACAGTGAAGCGCCACGGACTGTCAGTTCTTAATAGGACTTGCTTTTAGGCATACTGCAGGATGCTGCCCCAAAGAAGCCGGGAAAGCTGGAAATCTAGGAAGGAAAGCCTACACCCCAGTGGGCTCAATGAGGGCATAGAGCTGGTTTCATCTCTATAAACCCCCCTTTATGGTTGTTCCTGTGACTCCGACAATCTCCCATAGACCTGAAGGGTGTCCCACTAATTTTTCTTTGGCCACCATCCCTATAGTCTTCCCCGACCATCCCCACAGTTTGGCCCAGTCTCATCTCCCATCACATTACTTTTAACATATTCCCACAATCATGTTTTTAAAAACATTTTACATTTGACATCAGGTATTTTGGTGGCGGCTGCTAAGGAGAAAAGAGGTGGTGGAGGATCACTGAAGTGGTGAGTATTAATAGATAGGGAGGGGGGTTGCTTTACACAAACACTGACAAGGTGACAGTGTCTCTTTAGAAAGAAGATTCGGCAGCTTGTTTGACATAGCCTCAGTCTAAACTGTATCTCAAACACTTGTTTAACACAGCCTTTAACTTTTTTTACGTTTTGGAGCAAGTAGTATATAGTTGAAAACCTTGTATTTGCTGTTTGTGTCTCTTTTAGGCAAAATCTCTGCACTACATGTTGAGGAGACACAGGAAGTGAGAAAAAAAAATCACTCCATTCCAGTTAGAATTAGTTTAGTTGTCACTAGAATGTTTTTCCCCACTGGAAGATTTCTCCTCTGCTTTTGTTCTAGTGACAGACAAATGTTATATTTTCCCATTCCTTTCTGTCATAGTGAAAATTGTCCCCACGTCAAATAGGAAGGGCAAATCTCCACCAGCAGGGACACCAGCAGCAATACAAACTTGACAAGGGTTCTACCCCTTACTTGCTGTAACGCAAGTTGAAATACACTTTAATAAGTGTTAAAAGTATATTTCTTTGAAATGTAAATAACAGAAACGTTTCTTATTAAAAGTTAGTACAAATTTTATTTTTAGTATGTATAAACAACATTTCAAAAACAATCACATGAATTGATAGGTACATACATCTGTTAAATAAGCTACTAAATATTCGGACAACAGTTATATACAATATTCTCAAGAGTATACAAAGTTCCATGGCAAATGAGGACTTAGAGAACCCGTATAGTTAAAATAAAAAAAAGCTACTTCTTTCAAAAATAATACATATGGTACTGCTCTTAAATTCGTTCTGGCACATATTAAAATTTTAGGTTACTGATGTAATTATGATTTCATTCTGGTTATGTTAACATTTTTATAAAACCGCTACTCATCATATCAAATATTCATTTTAATGCAACTGTTGTAACATGTTTCACAGATAGTCATGAGTATAAATGTTGTTATATGTACAGTATATACTGTATAATTCTCTAACCCCCCAAAAAGTCACGCTTTACAGGCTCTGTTGTAAGGGGATCCCCAGAAGAGTGAAGGAGCTGATAGATGAGACAAGAGAGTGCTCCCCTTGTTTAGAAGCCTTGCACAATTCTGCTATATGCCATCCTCATAGAGGCACATGGAAGCCTAGCCAATCGTGTTACAGGATGAAAGATAACCTGCTGGAAAGCTTCAATTATTGTAATGAATAAATAATGGAATGATAAAGGCAAATTGGATCGCTGTTTTTTAGGAGCGATGTCAGCGCATATGACAGATTTTTGTTTAGGCAGAGCAATCAAAGAAGATGATTTTGTGTATTTTGGTGTAACAGTCATAACGCAAACCATCTCAAAGTTTGTCTTCTATGTAGACTCAGCAGTGGCTACCTTTCAGAGATGCCTATAGTTTAACAGTTCATTATAACATTTTTTACAAAATGTAAAGTCCCATGATGGCCAAGAGAACGCATCCACCAATGGCAACCCATCTAGGAAACTGACTGAACAATGCTGTCTGCTCAGAGGTATGGCTCCTGTAGCTGGGCTCTTCTGCTAAAAAGGAAGAACATAAATATGCTTGAGGTTAGCATTTGCCTGCTTTTAGTTTTTTATTTGCAATACTTTTGCTACTTGAATTACAAAGATACATTTAATTCTGAATAGGATATGCTCTTTTCTTTTAGGTATTTTGATGTATTGTATTACTAATGTTAAGGTTAGAGAATGATGGGAAATGAATTATGTAGATTCAACAAAGATTCAATAATACTTTAAAATTTGTAAACAATTAAAAATCCTATCTAAACACTTTTAATTCCTTTCAGCCTTTTCGTGTTCAACCGTAGGAAGTAACAACTTACCTGCCCTTGTGCCCACTTTTTAGGACCGCTTTTTTAAAGTCCACATGAGCTGCTATCAGCATGGTTGGTTGCTTTCATGGTCCTGAAACCACCATGTAGATACCAGCCAATATGAATGATATAGCAGTGTAAGCGATCCCCTGTAACTGCGCATGTGCAAAGCGCTCATTCGTGTTCTATGGAGAGACCGCTATTCCACGCATGCGCAGACAATCACATCCGGGCGCACAAAAGCGCGTGAAAATGGCGCACAGGAAGTGACATATCGCCCTAACCACTTCCCCTATATAAACCCAGCCTGAGCACCACCATATTGCTGGAATATCGTCAGCTCTCTTGTGTACTCCTGTTCCCTGTGTGATTATCTGCCTGATCTGCTGTGACCCGGATTTGTCTTGACTATTCTTACTCGCTACCTGCCCCTGACCTCGGATTTGTTTAATGGACTTCGCTTCTGCCTGACCCCTCTGTACCGTTGCTGCTCGATTGGATTTGACCTTGGCTCGTTTACTGCATTTCCCTTTCCAAGACTTTTGGATTTCAGCTCGCACGGTGTTATCACCACTGGCACTTGTGCCACTCGCTGTCTACTTGGACTCTGTCCCCATCCTCAGAGTCCTCGGGACACTAGGTGCAAGGGACGCCTCCTCATACATTCAGTCTCCAACCAGGTGCGTGACAAGCAGGCTAATAGCCTTCATTAGAAATCACAGTTTAAAAAAAAAACCAATAAATAAGATTTCAGGAGCAAATCAGGTGAACCACTGGTGCAAAATATTAGCTTATCTCTACTATGTAAGTCATCATGCTACAACTAAGACTACCTGTCCTACAAAAGCAAAAATAAAAAGGAATAATGAAAAGCACATTATTTTGATTAACTCCCACAGCCGAATATCACTGCTCCTTCACACCAGCACTAGAGAGAACAGCGGGTGCACACTGGTCAAGCCCATCTTGCTCCAGCATCAGCAGTTATTCACAAAAAAGTCCGGGTGCACACTGCAAGCTTTGCTAAACGTTTTAATTGTAGCACACAGGTACACGTTATCCTGCCATGGATTCTTCTCACTCTGACATGTTTCATAGAGATGGACTTAGTCAAAGAGATTGGATGAAACATGTCGGAGTGAGGAGGATCCATAGCAGATCCATGATGTGTGCCTGTGTGCTGCAATAAAAATTTTCAGCGAAACTTGTAATTTGCGACCGGACTTTTTTGTGAATAACATTATTATCAATATTACTATTTTCCTGTTATTATTTTGCAGCTTGAAGGATCAATTCAAAATGAAATCATAATATCTAACCTTTATTTGTTTTGGGCACTCTGCTTCTTAATGTTGAAGGTTCATCTGTTATATGGTCATTCTGTATTGTTGATAATGTTTGTAATTCTTCAAACACCTTAAAAAAGAATCCAATACATTAGTTATATGAAAACAGTCACAGCTTCTCTCCTGTTGTATTGATAAATGTAAAAATAAAATACCCTTGCCAGGGCTCCTTGTAAGGACGGGCATGGCAAACATACAAATAAATAAAGAAATACATACATCGTGTGTGCAGCATGCTTCTATTTTACTGTTTTTGGCAAAATGGAAAGTAAAGTGTACACTAAATTAAATCAAAAGTCTGCTGATAAAAAGAATATTAAGATATTACGTGTACACTCTTTTTCCATGATTCAGGTCCAGCACCACACTTTTAGCCTTTGCTCAACCTTAAAAAACTGTGAACCATATCGTTGCCCATAAGCTCAAAGTACAACTACAGTCTAAACTAGTACCAACTCCAGTTACCATGTGATGTGCAAGCCTCATAAAAAAAACACTTCCTTTATGTTGCCTGACTGAGTGAAATCCTCCTTCATCTTTACTAATGTACTGGAAAATCTGTTTCCACTTTGATACCCAGGATCTCTTTTGGTGAAGGAGTACAGTAGTACCCATGGATTAATAATTTAGTTATCCTTTTTTAGAATTAATTAATAATCTATTAATTTAAAGGAAATTCTTCTTTTCCGAAAAAAAAATTAGAAAACAATTACCTTTACATTAAGCAGAAATGCTGTCTTTGCTTCTTCTAAGATCCTCTTTTTTGAAGCAATGCCAACATCTAGAGAGTTCATTCTGGAGCGATATAGCTGTTTGAACTTTGTTGCATTGGTAACATGGTCAAATGTGAAAAAGGCCAGTCCTTCCCCAGTGGCTGGTAGCTGAAGTGCTTTCTGAGCAATCTTTTTGAGAACCTGGCCACCTGAAAGATCTCCTAGGTATCTGGTGTATGCATGGGCCACCAGCACGTCTGGTTCCTTACGACCGACATGATGAAGTCTCTCTACATAATTTTTTGTTGACTGTGGGAAACTGATCTGTTTTCGCCACTGTGGTCCATAGAAATATTCAAGATCTTCTTCCAAAGCTTTTTTGCGATGGAGTTCCAGGGGGAAATATAGTGGAGAAAATACTGGATTTTCTTTGTTGCGTTCAATCTCTTCCTCCAGGGCTTCATACACAAAGTATAAGGACGACATGACAAGCTATAAACGAGAGAAAGTCAGATTATCAGATAAAAGGCCTGGGTTATTTTTACATGATAAATCTCAAGGGTAAAAATGTAACACTCTGTACTGACTACATTCATCATGGACAACCTCCACAATGTTATCATGCCATTTGCAGCTAGGTAAAAAAACAAATGATTTCTTATGTGCAAGTAAAACATTACCTTGAATTCATGTAATGTGACTTGTCCTTTCTGAAAATTTCTCATGAACTCTGTGTCTTCTGCTTGCTTATGGACCTCCTTTGTTGCTTCTTTCAAGGCCTCAGACAACTCCTCCATAACACTAAAGGAGACAATGATTTTCATATATAGATGCTTCAGGCAAACATGTAAAACATTTATTGTATAAGTTGGAAGTAGTATTTTGTAATAGTTATTCACAAACTTTACACAATACACTATGCACAAACTAAACAATATGGGTTAGTTCACACCAGAAACTGCATCACAACTGTGTGCGTCTGCACAGTTGCATTGCAATCTGTTTGGACGTGTTTGTGATGCGTTTTTTTAAATAAAATGCTAATTAGACAATTAGGTCACTTCCTTTTTCCTGTCAGAGCATTTCCTTTGTTTGTTTTGGAGCTCAGACATGCTTGCTTTGTTGGCCGGCATGGTGATAGTGTTGGCTGTACCTACAAAGAGGAAGTCCCTGGATGATGACACAATCAATTCTGTGGGGTTTTTATTTGGATGCGTTTCTGTGCATTTGCATGCGTTTTTGATGCATTTTGATGCGTTCCGGTACGATCAGATGCAGCTAAAATAGGACGAACAGTATTTTTTCTGACTGCATCTGAACGGACTGCAATTGTGTGAATACAGCACAAGTAAGCCGATAGGAAAGCATTGTGATGTATTTTGGCTGCAGCAGCCAAACTGAACGGACTGCATCACAACTGCATATGGTGTGAACCAGCCCTGTAAGTAATATCCAGTTAGATTAGACTTTAAACAATACAATGCTTTCCTGTCCTAGAAATCTTCAAGAGACCTACCTGTGTGTAAGACCGGTCCCTCGCTGTGACATCATCTTGCCTACATCATGGTTTCTACATTACCCTACCATTAATAAAGGTGCTAGTAGATAAAGAATGAGTTTCTCTCAGCAAAGCATTAGAATAGAATGTAAGAAGTATGTTGTTTTATGCCACATCAATACTTGCGAAATCAGGAATAATCTGCATGACCTACTTTCATAGCATATACAGAAAGAGGGTTGTTGCAAAATGTAATATATAGTGAAAACAAAAGTTCTTACCCACAGAAGCCTAACTCATTGCTTCAACTATGCCCCTGCTTTTCAGCAAATGATCCCACAAAAGTGTGGTGTGTGGGCTAAAGTGTGTGGCGCTTACTACCGTACTACGGCAGTTGTGGTCCGTTTTTGAAATGTTAATTCACAGTTTGATAGCTGTCTTCCTATGTGTTAAATTGTATAACCAGAACTTTTGTTTTCAATTTTTGTTAGTGTGGGGAAGTGTTAGAACCACTCTGAAGTTCTTTTTTACTGTCCCTGTCCCACTGGGGAGATTAAACTGCTCTATTTATCCCTTTGGCTGTTATCATTGAAACAGAAAATGATGAGAAATCCAAAATTTTACAGTTGCTCCCAGAGCAGGAATAGAAGGATAATCTTCTAATGGGGACACTTGTTCTTGGGACAACTGTCTAAGGAGGAACGTTCTTTCATTTTGTTGTTTGTTGTCATTTTGTTTCATCTTTATGATAGAAAGTAAAGGAAATCTCCCCAATGCTACACAGACAGCAAAAAATAAACTGACAATGGTTTCAACCCCTCCCTACGCTATCCAAGGCTGAAAAAAACATAAAGTATACATACATTTTAACACTGGGTTGTGATTTCAGAATGTCGTGATTACAGATCTTATTTACAGTATAAGAACTATGATTTGCCATGTGGGGTTCCCAGGGCCAGTGTTTTAATTGACCTGTTGAAAACTGCAGGACATCTGCAGAACTCCTTTCCTAGGTCGTTTTTTTTTGTAAAGCAGCAGGTAAGAGATAGAGGACAGTAAAGAGAACTATTGCTTATTATGACAGGCTGTTTATAAAATGAAAACAGGCTTGCATAGTTGCTCAGTACTAAAAGAAACTTGCAATACAACTCATTTAAAAGAGGCCGGCAATGTTGTACCAGTACCGCAGTTATTGAAGTGACATACTTTTATAACGTGTCCAATAATTGGGCAATAATACTAATAAGCTGCCTATCTGCATGTTCCACATTCTTTCCTAGCAAATTCTAGACATTCTCATGAGTGCTTACATTCTAAACACAACTCAGAGATCACTCTATAGACAAGATGATGGGTAACAGTATAAAAGTTGTTTGTTAAATAGGATTCTTAGGAAATCCAGAATGGGACAAATGATGCAACCTATCCTATCCCTTGCCCCAAAAACAACTTAAAGACTCCACTACAGACTCCTTTTTTGCTGTCCATCCATCTTATGATATAAATACTGAAGATGGATATAATGGGAAATGATTTTCCAACCTATTGGGAAAAAAAAAAATTGTATTCAACCAGTGAATAAAAAGCTAAATAAAGGTACATTATGTACTCTACAGACAACAATAGAAGCAGGGGTAAGTCACACACATAGTTTAGCATGTAAAGATAACAAATAAGAGTAACGTGTTTACCCGTTGGATTCCTTTCTGTCTGATGAGTCCATCTTAGGTCCCTGAGTCTCTCTGAAGGATAGACACCACTGAGTTGTACAGGCTGCCTCTTCTGAACAATAGCAAGCTAGCTGATCTCTTTATAGGCGAAGTGTTTCTGCTTTTACTGTCACGTGACAGAACTGGGAGTGCTGACAAGGATCTTTCCAACTTCACATTGCAGATTGAGGAGGAGCGAAAGGGGAAAAAATAGTCATGAGAAATACACTGATTTGTGCTATAGTGTAACATTTGCCTAGAGGGAAGTGAATACGCATTACACTGCACAAACAGGGTTAAAGGGGCTATTGAGCAACTATTTCACACATGGCATTATTCAGTGAAATGTGACAAAGACCAGAGAATGTACAAGGTGCCGTAACCAAATACATTTAAATGAACAGACTACAATAAGCTGAAATCAGATTTTGTACAGAGATGAAATAAAGGCACACCTCTTTCATTTATATATATATTACTCCATAGCCACAAAGGATATAAATGCATTTTGTGTGCACCAAATGCCTTTACGAACCCAGATATTACCTTGTAAAAGTAGTGGCACCATCATCACTGTGTTGAGCATAGCCTGTGCCGAAAGCAAAGCTGTGGAAGGGACCCAAGGGCTCCACTCACTACAGGCTGTCAGCAGAAAACTACAAGAGGGGCAGATGCAATAACAGTCACCCTGCACAAGAGGAGAGAGCAGCAGTGACTGCTCTTTATTACAGGAAGCTCCTGCAGGGAAGCAAAGCTTCACACTGGATTACTGCACGGATCTTGAAGAAATACACAAAGCACACCAAGATTCAAATAAGAATATGCATGACCCCTATTACTAGTATCGGTTTAGGGACCAATACAGGGCATTTCCACAAGTACTTGTGAAAATGCCCCGATACATAGCGCCGATACCTGCACTATATATATATTTTTTAGGTAGCTTCAGGCTGCCCAGAGGTAACACGCATGTTGGGGGTCCTCTGGGCAGTCTGCCGGACAGCTAAATGAGGACCTCAACCTGGAGACATTGACACAAGCACATTTTAGGAGAACAGGGAAGGGTTAGAATTTTTGACAATGTTTTTATTGCTGTCCATATTAATTTTATTCTCAGCAACTACCGCACCCCCACATTCTTTTGCAGGTGTCACAGGGACAGGCAGTGAGGGGATGCCTCCCCAGCAGTGTGACTTGGTCTTTAAACTGGATCCACAGGCACGGACATCAAATCAATGTGTAAAAAAGTTACCTCTGGCCAGGTGTGTCAACTGTGCAGATCACTTCTATTTATTGTGCAATTCATACATTTGTATATGCCGGATACTACAGCTACTTCCAGCGCTGTGGCTCTCATACAGGGAGGTGATTGGGTCATTTATTTGCCCCTTCTTTTCCCCTTATGTGAACCATTCACAGAATACAAGACATACTGTGAATATACAAGGGAAGAGAAGGGCCAAGTCCAGACACAAATGTCTGTCTGTCACCCTGCTAGGGAGGCTTCGCCTCACCGCCTGTTCCCGTGACACCTACATAAGAATGTGGGGGTTTGGTAGTTGCTGAGACAAAAAAAAATCCGCACAGCAATAAATACTAATCTCAGCTCAATAGCTGTTGTCTGCATGCTTGTTCCAGGGTTCACAGACAAGTGACCTGTCTGCCTTGAAACTAGTATGCAGCCCGGGGAAGAATTTTAGCCTCAGCTCAGTTTGTTAGTAGCTGACAAGAAAACGGGATATATGAAAACTGCGTACAGATCCCTCTCCTTATGTATTTTACAGATCTGATTTTTGGTATAAGCCCCTGGGCAATGTTTACTCTCAGTTTTCTTCCAGTAACTGTGTTTCAATATGCAGGCAAGATTACTATGGTTCCAGGGATAGGCCACCTTGGCACTCCAGCTGTGGTGTGACTACAAATCCCATCATGCACCTGCCTCTGGGAGTCATGCCTGTGACTGTCAGTCTTGCAAAGCATCTTGAGACATGTGTCCCAAGGTTGCCTAACCCTGGTCTATTAACTTACATTCATCTCTACAGAGTTCGTATTCCTGCTGTCACCCTGGAGAATAGGCACCAGGAGAGCATCAAATATAACACAGCCTGGCGCACTGCAGATCTGATTCACGCTACATCTGAGGTGTCATTGTTAATGTAATGGATAAAGTGGAACTGCAGCCAAAACCTTTAGTTTTGAATAGAGTAAGAGAGGTGAATTGTGGGGTTCTTCTCCATTTTTTTTCTTTAAAATGGCACTTCGATGCGTGTTCCCACCCACTCAGCCACATCATCCTTTTACAAGTCCCATGCAAGCATCTGTAACTGGAGAAACTACAGGTTACATTAGCCACCGTGACCGAGTGACTTGTTGTTTTCAATGGAGTACAAATGAGGTCAATGCACTTGTCCATTCATTCTTTCTCCTATCCCTGTTGCTGAATGTCCATTTGGTCATGACAGGGACAGAAGGAAGAATCTGCAGGAGCCAGAGCATTGCACTCGCCATCCTCTGATCACAGCTGCAGTGCTTTACTGGCTCCAATGCAAAAATAATTACAAGTGGACATGATTTCTTTTATGAAGATAATGCATTTCTTTCTTTCTTTTTTTTTTATTTGGACTTTACCTTTAATAAACAAATAGGACTGAGATATTTCCTGTTGTCTCTCACATCTCTATACCGCTGTGATCTGTTACAATAATACAATATTCTACTCGCAGTGCACTCATGGCACATGCATGTTCAAATGTTGCTGTGCTCAGAAGTTTGGGTATTGAACTCTGAACATGAACTGGGACATTGGAATCATGAAGGAAAAGAGTTAATGAAGAGAGGGTCAGATGACATACAGGAAATTCATGTTGTGTGCCTTTGACTTCTCATTTCCAGCGAAAGGAACATCTGACCGTGACTCAGCATTTCTGAGTCTGGAAAACAACCAGAGTGACTCAGCATGTGCTAGGTGAGGCCATACTGGATTCATTGTTTTTCCTGGCTTTGAGCTGTGGGAGGTTCAGGCAGGAATCTGAGCAAGAACACACAATGCTAAACAACATCTCAAAATGAAAGCATGACAGTGCAGAGATTTGTAAAGAAAAGTCTGTGCAGTTCTCAGGAATTCAAAGATCTTCCCGTTACTCAGCAGAAATAAGGGTTCTGCTGGAAAACCTTTTTATTCCACCTTAAATCTGCTGTCAGATAGAGAAGAATCATGCAGTGTTTAGCTATAGCCAAGTTTCATGTAATTTCTGACTGCGTATATTGCATGTCATTCCCCTTTCCACCCATCTCTCCTCTTCTGTTTAGTTCAGAATGCCAAAATTGTACTAACAGCTTCATTTAAAGCCAAACTCCAGGAAAAAAAACATTTATTGGCCATTTGCAATGTACTATTATCTTAGCTATAATGATGGGTGTCCCATTTATAGTTGGCTGCTTTATTGTTTATTACAGGAATTTACAGTATAAAGCATCTACATTTTACGCAGCGCTTTACATACTTCACTGCCATTGAGGAGCTTACAATCTAATACTTCATTTCACACACATACATACTAGGGCTAATTTAATTTAGACAGGAACCAATTAACTACATATCTGTGGTGTGGGAGTGCGTGTGTTCTCACATGAGATCAGATCAGATAAGATTGGATGTTACACTGTTAGGCCCAAATCACTATCCAAATCCTGCCGCCTTCACCTTCGTAACATCTCCAAAATACGCCCCTTCCTCACCAGTAAAACCACAAAGCTTGTTATCTCTCATCTCGACTATTGCAACTCCCTCCTCATTGGCCTACCTCTACACAGACTATCCCCCTTCAGGCTATCATGAATGCTGCTGTTAGACTCATCCACTTTGCGAACTGCTCATTTTCTGCAACCTCTCTCTGCCAATCCCTCCACTTGCTTTCAATTAGACATGTGCATTTCGTTTCATTCCGAAGTGAAATTCGTGTGAATTTTCAAAAATTTGTACATTTGAATGCATCAGAATTTACAAATGACAGAAATAATGAAAATTTCAGATGCAATTACCCAAATAATACAATTCAAACTATTAACAACCACTTACAAAGCAATCCACAAGTCTGCCCCCTATATTTTCAACCTCATCTCAAAGTATAACCCTAACCGTCCTCTCCACTCCTTCCAATACCTCCTGCTCTCTAGCTCCCTCAGCAACTACTACCACGCTTGCCTACAGGACTTCTCTAGAGTCTATCAAATCCTCTGGAACTCCTTACCCCACCGTGTCCATCTATCTCCTACTCTGTCTGCCTATAGGGGATCCCTGAAAACTCATCTCTTTAGGGAAGCCTATCCCACCTCAACCTAATCACTCAACCATTACTTTCTCAAACAATGCATCCTCACACAGCTACCACCTTTTGTATCACTTGCCCCTCCTTTTGAGATTGTAAGCTATCACGGGCAGGGCCCTCCTAACCATCTTGTTTTGAATTGTATTGCAACTGTAATGTCTTCCTTATATTGTAAATCTCTGCACAAGCTGTTGGCGCTATATAGATCCTGTATTAATATAATAATAATAAAAATAGGCCCCTGATGTCTCCATAAAGAGAACATGTGACTCCCTCTTTGCTTTTACATAGCATTTTTGCATACAGTATGTGATAGCAATAAAGGTAAATGTAAAAAAAAGATTTTCAAAAATTAAAGTGACATAAAAAACAAAAAAGCACACAAAAAAAGTTACACACAAATGCAAACAAGCATCAGGTGTGCCTATACACAAAAATGACGATTGGGACACACATGTTACACATCACCAGGAACATCAGAGTAAAAGCAATTATTCTAGGGCCAGCATTCACAGTTAACTCTAAATTGATGAGTGGTAAAGGCTTTTAAATCGTCAGCTAAGGGCAATTTTGGGTAATGTAGTTTTTTGCCATTTCACAGGCGTGCACAATTTTAAGGCTTGACATGTTTGCTACCTGCAATCATTGCTCCCCGCAGGAATTCCCCCTCCCCTCTCTATTCCTCCAGTGCTCATTGGAGTGACAGACAGGAGAGGGGGCGGGCACAGCTGGCTCTGGCTCTAGAAAGCTCA